AGTTTGGACAACACTGCTCTAAGACAATTGAGAACATGCCCAAGGGCAAGGCAATGGAAGTTGCCCAGCATTTAGAGTGCCATGTCTTCCCCACCTGTCCTCTCTATGGGAAGGCGGAGATCAAAAATAGTTGCATAAATGCAACAGACTACCTCAAGCATTAGAAGCATAAGCTAGCTTTAGATCTACTAGATCTGAGATGAATGTAGGACAAACCAGGAATGAAATTTTGTGCAAGCTGAGATCTCATACTGAAAAGAAATTTCTGAACTGCTTCTGCAGTCTGTGTTTATGATTGTCCTTTTTTCTAATCTACTGTTTTGTACATGGCTGCATTAGCTGCTGAATCTTCACCTTTTAGGAAAAATTAAAGACAATCTTGCAGGCAGTTACACCCTTAGTCGGCATTCCTTTCATTAGCAAACTAGTCAAATGTTGAAAGAGGCAGAGATCACAAATTATCTGAACAAAAATAGGATGAGTGGAAGGGAAATACCATGGACTCAGGCTGAACACAGTTTCATTCTCTTGACAAGGAAGTGGTAGCAGTTAAGCAAAATTCTATCCCCCCTTCCCCCAGTGACTCCCTGCCAAATTCTATTATTCATCCCTACTTGCACTTGGAGGACAAGATGGCATCATTTGGGGCAATCATAGTCTGGCTCTCTCTACCATTACACTGACAAATTGCAATTACATCAGTGTAAGACACAATTCAAGTAACTTTTCCTGATCTAAAAAAGAACCTGTATACCCAAGGTTGGACCACCAGTAAATAGCATGGAAAATAAATTAAGATCATACCCAGGTGACAGCTTTCAAAATATTTCTAGTAATGAAAGAACCAAGCAACCAGGAATAAAAAAGTAATCCAATAGTCCCTTATCTTGGAGGACTTTTTTAACTGAATCCATTCAGGTTTATTTTTCAGTAGACCTATATAGAAAATCACTGCAAAGATCAAATGTTACTATTACAATTTCAGAGGAAACAACTTTCCTTCCAAATCCCACATATCTCTCAACTCTTAAAACCTCCAGGAAACCCTGGAGGAAACAGATTATCTAGATGCATTCAAGTCTGGTTTCAGGCCAGGATTCAGTACTGAGGCAACTCTGGTTGCACTTGTTGATGACCTGTGGTAGAACCAGGGTGGAGATGGTGCATCCATCCTTATGCTCCTTAATCTCTCAGCAGCTTTCTGATACTATCAACCGTGATATTCTTCTGAGCCAGCTTGATGGGTTGGAGATTGGGGCCACTGTTTTATTGTGGTTCTCTCCCTTTCTCTGGGGCCAGTTCCACTCAGTGTTGGTTGTGGGGTGGGGAGAGATCACTCTCTAGGCTCCTCCTGTGTGCAATGCCAATGATACCCATATACAGTATAATATCTTTTGACCCTGGGCTGGCCAAGTGAGGCTATTGAGGTTCTGTCCTAGTGCCTGGAGCCTGTGCTCCAGGCACTAGGGGAGCATCTCTGACTCAATCCTACCAAGGATGGGGAGCATCTCTGACTCAATCCTACCAAGGCTGTGTGGCTGTGGGTGTTTGGCCTGCCCAGATTTGGGGATATTCCATCTTTGACCTTGGATAGGGTTGCACTTCCCTATTGAAGGGTGGTGCACAATCTGAGGGTCTTCCTGCTCTATGAGCATGTGGCAGCTGTGGCCAGGAAGGCCTTTGCACAGCTTCACATGGTGCACTAGTTGCATCCTTTCCTAGATCAAGGGGCCTTTTGGACAGTCACTCATGGCCTGGTCACCTCGTGGATTGACTACTCCAATACACTCTACATGGCTGCCCTTGAATACCACCTGGAAGCTTCAGCTGGTCCAGAATGCAGTGGTGTAGGCAGAGATGGGCATGCCTTGGTATGTCCATGTAACACCTTTGCTTTGCAAGCTACACTGGTTGCCAGTTTGTTTCCAGGTATGGTTTAAGGTGCTGGTCATTACCCATAAAGTCATACATGGCATAGGACCTGGTAACTTGAGGGACTGCCTGTCTCCCATAGTATCTGCTTGGCCAATTTGATCTGGCAGGGTTGGTGCACTCCAGGTTCTATCAATTAAACAATGCCATCTGTCTGGGGAGATCCAGATGGCTCCCGCCCTGCTGATGTTTCAAAGGACCTTGAAGACCTGACTCTTCACCCAGGCCTTTGGCAAGGGTAAGTGAAGTCTCCTTTGGATTGTGTGTGTTTGTTCCTTTTTACTTCAGTCCATCTTTTTGTTATCCTTGCTATCTTTACTCTTCATTTTTGTCTATTGTTGCATTTTTTCTTGTTTTAATGCTTTTATTTGTAACTACCCAGAGTCATTGGGAGTCAGGCAGCATATAAAATTAAATGATGATGTTGATGATGTTGATGATGATGATGATGATGATGATGATGATGATGATGATGATAACAACAAAAGAAGAAGAAGAAGAAGAAGAAGAAGAGGAGGAGGAGGAGGAGGAGGAGGAGGAGGAGGA